CGATGACGATCGCAAAAATCATGATATTCAAGTTGAAGAAACTGGACAGAAAATGTACGAAGGGATGAATGAAAGCGAAATGGAAGATGATGTGCAGAAGCATTTGAATCATTTTTGGATTGATCATCACTTGTATCTGTTGCAATCGTCATCCGACGATGGTAGCGATCTTGATCTTGGAAATTCTGAGAATGACGAGGATTTGAACATAAAGAAACAGTCCGATCAAGAAAATCAAGGTCCCTCTCTCTCTCTCTCTCTCTCTCTCTCATTCTCTCACTTTATCTACATGAATTCATACGCGGGAGTGTATTACTGATCATTGATTTTTCTTTTTATTTTATTTTATTTTTGTATTTTATTTCATGTTTGTTGATTTTCGTGCTTGTAGGAACAATAGCAAACGCTGAATTCACAGATCAAGATCGCAATGACAAAGTTGAAGATGAAATTCCCGAAGAAAATTCAAAACTCCGTTCCATTGTTGAGACATTAGACCAGCAGATATCCCAATTTAAGAGATTAGCTAGAGGACACAAAAAATTATGTAACGATGATGATTCTGATGACGAAGAAGTGTTGAGGAAGATTTTGGGACTGAAAGGTGATAGTAAACTGGAACACTTGGATAACAAGTCGAAAGATACTGATCAGTTCAACGATGTTACTCATCCTGATTTTTACACAAATATTGAAGGACTGGAAGAACAAATGTACGAATTGATGAGAGAATTTAAAGAAGATGAAGAGAAAGAAAAACAAGGTCGTTTGAACAAGCTAAATGTAAAGCAGAAAGTGTCGAATCAACCTGAGGACGGCATAGATTGTGTTGATTTTACTGAAATTCATGGACTCGAATTCGACAAAAGCAAAGAAGAATTCAAAGGGAAAGAAGAGGATGTGACGAAAGGGGAGTTAGATCGGAAGCAGAAAAAGGCGTTGGATCAAGTATATGAGGCCTTGGAATTGATATTAGGTGAGCTTGACACTGAGATCCCTCGCCTGCAAGTTCATCTTGCCCGGTTGAGGCAACAAGTGGTGGAAATATTTCAGCAGTTGGAATTCGAATTTGAAAAAGCTGAAGCAGAGGAATTCCGATATGGAAATGGAGGAACCAGCTGATCATGAACTTAGAGACAAAATTAAGTCAGGGTTGGAAAGCCAACCGGAGAAACACAAAACGAAAATGGAATCAACAGTGAAACAAATTGAGGGCGGAGTGAAGGATTCGAGAAGATGTCTGGGGATCTGGAAATGCTTTGATGCAGAGAAGACGACCTTGAAGTGAGTTTGCAGCTGTAGATGCTCTGTTTTGCTTGACATAGGATGCATTACTCTGTTGATCTCTTAATTGCTTTGACAATTTGTTTTGGATAGTTGTTCTTTGATTATAGATTTGTTAGTTGCTATCTCAATGTCTTGGAAGTCTAGATATATAGAGTGAAAGATTAGATTGTTAGTAGACAGACCAACATATCTAGCTTGATTTTTTTAGTCTATGGTTCTTCACAATCTGTGGTTTTGGTTTTTTCTGGGCAAAAATATAATACAAAGGTTAAGTTCAACTTTCTTAGAAACATGGATATTTTATCATTTGCTCATTCAATTTTTGATTTTTCACCTATAATGATCTTGGGTATTATCAAATAACTGTTGTTAAAGTTGCGACGAGTTCGTGTTGCTTACATGTAGTTTTTGTGTCGGTCCATTAAAACTAAATGCATACTTAATAATTTCATTTTTGTCTTGAATTGACTTCGATGTATCGTGTTGAAAATTTGTTATTTTTTCATCTATTTTGAACAATTATGAAATGGTTGTATTAGGCAAGATGTAGTGTGATGGTGAGTCCAGTTAGGTAGCCTTATGAATTGTGTATACAGTTTAAAAATTTTCAGACTTTACTTTTTAAGAAAATTTTGGCCAAATTTAGAAAATGTATTCGTGATTTAATTTTTTGTTAATTATCAATTTTTTTTGTAAGTTCGTTTTTTGTTAATTATCAATTTTTTTTGTAAGTTCGTTTGTTTAGTGAGAGAATGCAAAAAAAATACGAGAAAGAGAAAAATAATCAATTTTTTTGTGTTTCTTTAAGAAGAAAATCATAAAAAAAAACTCGAGAAAATGAGATTCTTGGGCCCACCATATTTTCTTCCAAACACAAACACGGCTTTTTATCTCCCTACCCCAGTTTGCAATTCTTATCTCCTCACCCCACCTTGCCCATCTTTTCTTTCACAAAACAAACTCTTCCCCCACCGAAACTCCAAACAAACTGAATGTCTTATGACAGAAAATTGTTTCAAATTTAACATCTTTATTTGAAGAGATAAAAATAGTCATGTTTCAACCATGCATTACTTCTATATTAATAATATGTAATATTTATTTATTTAATTATAAAAAGTGGATAAATGCACCGTCTTTCAAGTTTAGCATCTCCTTTAATATGGATAAAGATATTTTAGACAATTCTCAAAATTTTCTAGCAACTTTATAACCTTTCAAACAATAGAATGAATTTTTTTTTTTTTTAAAAAAAGCTTTCTTTCAAAATTTTCATACTAACTAAATAAATTAAAGAAAAAATATATTTTTTTTTCTTTTTTCTTTCTTTCACTTCACTTTCTACTGCTTTCACTTTCTACCATTATTTTCTTTCTAACCAAATGGACGTAGTGCCATCAGGCACGGACACATCTATCTCGTAAACATGGCAACTAGGTGTTTGTATGGCTAAATTTTATAAACCATAATAATGGATAAAAATGATCCAAAAAATGTAATCAATCTAAGTGTTTGGTGAATTTTTCGTTTAGCATAATACAGTGGTTTTGGGCACGGCCATTTCTTCTAATGGCATAGGTTTGCATAACTATCTAAGTTGACTTTTGATTTAATCTTGTGGGCGCTTCTATGAGTTCTAATTGGGTATATAATTTTAAGTATATGAATTTTATAAGTTTCCGGTTAAACTTTATGGATTTTGTATTATTAAAGTGTGTTTTCTTTATTTCTTTATTGAAATTTGTTTTCATGAGAATCTTCAAATATGTAATATTTTAGTGAGCATATATGCAAGGTGCGGGCGTTAAGGATGCAATTTAGACTTTAAGTTTATTGTGTATCTATATTTAGTGTTTGATATTTTTTTATATCCACGATCAATATTCAATTTTTTGAATTATATAATGTTGGAATAAATTTAAGTTATTAAAACTTTTTAATTATTTTATTTCAGTTACAACCGTTATTATTGGTCACTTGAATGGCAGATTCAATTTTGCTATTAATCTTAGTTTTAATGGACTAGCTATTACAAGGAAACAAAGATTATATAAAGAAGCCATCAGAAGTTGCCTAAGGGGGTTGTCGGTTGGGATCAGCCATATTCTCTACGCCTCTATCCCAATTAGTCATTTGTCTCCTTTGCCATATATTTCATCAATTTGTCCTTTTATTTGATTTCTTTTACGACCTCTTTCTTCTCGATATTCTAAAATAATAGCATAGTATTTTTTATTATTATGATTTTATGGACAACTTCGATTCGAGTCAGATTCATCATAATCTTCTAGTGGACGTGCCTCCTGATGAGGTGTTACTGTAAGCATATTTGAGTTGTATCTTAGAGTTGTATATGTCTGTTAATACCTTCACGTGACGAGACATAGTTATTTTACGACAGTGATTACATGACTCTCAGATATCATAGGCCAACTCTTTTTAATTTATTATTATCTATTTTGTAGTGTCTTAATCACATGCATCATATATATTTGATTTGTATTCTTGTTTTTTTTTATATATTTTTATAAATGACTGTTAATTAATATTTATAAAATTATGTTATTTTTTCCAACAGATATTACCTTCGGATACAAGTTATCATAATTAGGGACAAAAAAATTTGAATATTTAGTTTGTCTTGAACTTTTAACGGTTCAAGCATTTTTAGAATTTTGAAAACTGTAAAAGGGCTTATCTCAACTTCATATACATCTCTCCCATTGCTATTATGTCTCGCGGTCTATCTCTCGGACTCTATATTACACCCGAAATACATCACTCTCATACCTATTCGTCTCTCTCAGTTGCCACAGCGCCACCGCCATAGCACCATCCTGGTATGCGGTCTCTCTCTCATTCTCTCTCTGTCTACCGGTTGCTACCGAACCACAGCCACTCACACCCAACTCAGCAACCCCATCCATCACCCGCCGCATATATACATAGCCACCACCACACACGACACAACCACTGCCCCCCGTCGCCTCCATCCCTTTTGTATGTATGATTTCAAAGTTTTTGTTGGTTTGCTTCTGAAAAAAAAAATGCATGCTCTATTCTGGGTGGTTTTAAGAATTGAGTTTTTGATTTTGCTATCAAGAAAATATGTGAATTTCCTTTTAAAAAAATTATTCATCTCCCGTTGCTGCATTTGAGGCACTACCAATTGCTTATGTGGTTTAAGTAGGGACAAATGAACTCACTTCTGTCAATTAATATGAATGTAGGCTTGAAAACTATGTTCTTGATTACTAAAATCATGGTTGTGAGATGTATTTGTGTTTCAGTTGTTGATCTTTTCGATTTTTTGTTCTCTTTTTTGTTCTTGCATTGCAATGTGATACTTATATGCGGGTAGCACTAATTTGATAGAACAAGATGGAGTGGGTTGGAGAAAAGTTCGATACTTACAATAGCATATGCAGACCTTTTGCTTCAATGAAGCATATCCATTGTTTTGTTTCTTTTTGTTAATTACTCTTTGAGTCACAAACTAAGGTATTTGTGGAATTGTTGCTACTGTAATCAGAGAAGCAATGCCAATGGATCCCCCTTTAGTTCAACTATATTATTTTGTCCTCAATCACTTAGCAACGTCACAATCAACTTCACGCCACTGTCTATTTCACCAGTCCTCATTCACTTGGGTTATTGCATTTTTAATTTTTTTTTATTTTGTATAGTGCTTTCAGGTACGGACAATCTCTAATATGGCGTTGGATCAAGAATACGAGTCCTTAAAATTATTAGGTGTGGCCTTGAAATTATTAGGTGAGATTGAGACTGAGCTCGATCTCCTGAAAGCTCGTCTTGTCCGGATGACGAAACAAGCCTTGGAAATATGTCAGCAGTTGGAATTCGAATTTGAAAAGCGGAAGCAGAGGAATTCTGATATGGAAATGAAGGAACCGGCTGATCATGAACTGAGAGACAAAATTAAGTCAGGGTTGGAAAGCCAACCGGAGAAACCCGAAAGCAAAAATAGAATCAACAATGAATCAAATTTAGGGCGGAGTGAAGGATTCGAGAAGATGCCTGAGGATCTGGAAATGCTTTGATGCAGAGAAGACGAACTTGAAGTGATTTTGCAGCTGTAGATGCTGTGTTTTTGCTTGATATAGGAGAGAACCATGGAGTGAATTGGTTAGAATACATTACTATATTGATCTCTTAATTGCTTTGACAATTGTTTTGGATAGTTGTTCTTTGATTATAGATTTCTTAGTTACTATCTGCATATCTTGGAAGTGTAGATATCTAGAGTGAAAGGTTACATTGTTAGTAGACAGACCAAGCATCTCTTATTTCCTTATCATAATAGATGATAACTAGTAGCTTTTCAATTGTGATTTGTTTGAGCTTCCTGGATTCTTTGAGTAGTAGTATTCTGATCGTAGTAGGTAAATTGCAGAGACTATTATGCCTTATATTGCTGAGAAAGTGAAGGTGCCGTTTGCTATTGTTTTTGAAGTGTATATATTTTGAGTAAAAAATTGTTTATTAAAGAACAAAAATGTTTTATTAATATCTAATAAAGGAGATTTCTGTACAGCTTATTATATCAATAATACACAGACAACTAACAAAATAAAACAAAAAATTTAAAGAAAACAACTTCATATCCAAAAAATTTTTAAAAAAAAAACAACCATGAGGGGTTATTTCAAGTGTTAACCGAGTCTAATAAATATCTTAAGTTGATATTGGTCGAGGGTTCGATACTCCAATGGATGAAAATGTTTCTTGGTGCTATCTCTTTTAGATTTAACTCCTGCGCGTGGACATTAGGTTTTGCGTGTGGGGCCAAATTGACTACTGGCCATGGATCCAACTCGATTGATTGAGTGTAAATATTGGGCACCATCCGAGAGACAATACCAGCGGGTATGCGCCAGCTCGGCTTTCATTGATACATTCAACCACCTATGGTCAGATCTTGCGGTGAACTACTGACATTTAAGACCATAAATCGACGAATCTTGGGGGAGAGAGGATATGAAGAAAAAGGTAAAAGAGAACACAGAATTGGCTTGTAGTTCGCAACTGTGGTTCGATCAGTTTTTATTTTTGGTTTCAGAGAAAAAAACTTGATCCATTTTAACCCAAACTTATTGCACGGATTTTCTATTGATTTTTTGAGCAAAAACAACTTTTATCGGAATCAAAAAAAAGTTGGGACGTGTTTGGTTATGTTTTGCAAAAAAAATTCAAAAAATCCAAAACTTGTTTGCTTAACATTTTTATTTTCAAATTTTTGGGAAAAAATAAGATTTTGATTAAAGAAATTGAAAACAAAACTGGCTTGTTTTCTGAGTTTGGGACTAGAAATTGTGAAAACACGGAGGTCACAAAACCCTTTAATGAGATTTGCCCTTAGAGCCCCTTATCAGCAATAGGTTTCCTTCTTTTTTTTTTTATTTCCTTCCTCTCTCCCTGACTCTCTAGCTCGTCTTCTCCACTCGTCGTCTGCATCGAATGAACACACACACACACCGTCGTCGTCTTCTCCAGCTCCAGCTCTAGCTTGTCTTCTCCAGCTCCAGCTCGTCTCCACCTCGTCATCTGCACAGAAGTTTCAAATCTACACAGATCTGAGCACAGATCTGTGTGTGTATGCATCTATGTGTGTGTGTGCGCGCTCGTGCGCGTGTGTGTATGCCTCTGTGTGTGTGTGTGTGTGTTTTGTGGAGACAGAGAGAGGTAAAGAAAAAGAGAGGTGGGAATTGTGGATTATTGTCCAAACAGATTGTATAATTTTTATTCTTTAACTATTTTCAAAAATATATAACTAAACAGGTTTTGTAATCTAAAATTTTTTAAAAACACTCTTTAAACTCTTTCCAAAAACGATTTTTAGATATTGTTTTTTGAAATGCAAATTAAACAGGCCTTTAAAAAAGAGAGCTCTCTAAGTTTTCTATGGAGACCAAAAAGATATTTGAGTGGTACATGTGGAGGCCAAAGTTAAGCATGAACTTGTAGCACACTAAAAGAATAATTCTTTTTGAACCACTGACTTGATATATTGAACCACTAGCGATAACTCATGACTGTACATTTCATAAAAAAAAATCAAATATTGATTGTGAATTCAAAAAAATTCAAGCAATGAACATAGACACACATTAAGCTGAAAGCCTAAATTGCATTCTTAACACACCTGCATTTTGCATACATGCTCAACAAAGTATTACTAATATGAAGATTCTCGTGAATACAAATTTCAATGAAGAGGGGGAGAAAACCTAATTTCAATAATCAAAGTCTCATAAATTTAAACTGAAAAAACTTAAAATTTATATGTTTAAAGTTACATACCTTACTAGAACTAACAAAAATGCTCAAATATTTAATCAAAAGTCAACTTACAAGGATTTGCAAACCCATGTCATTAGCAAAAATGTTTGTACCTTCACTATGTTATATTAAATAAAAAATGGTCAATTTTGAATCAAATTAAAACAATACTTTTGTCCATTTAAAAAATTTGGACACAGTGTCTCCTAAAAATAGGACCCAAGAAAATGTTAAATTGTATAAACAACCTATAAAACGCTAATTATATAATTTACCCTTTATAAAATACAAATTAAACAAATAATTGTGAACTCTGCATCGCGTTCAGCAAGTTTAACTATACCAATGCAATCAATTTGAGTTGCCTTTTCTAAATCAAGATCCACAAATCAATCGGTGCTACATACACAAAAGATCAAGTAAAATAGATGTAGTTAAAAAATAAAGAGTATATCCTTTTTATTCATTTAAAGCAGGTGAAAATTGATTCTCTACTAAAAGGTACATTTCATCATGCATTTATAGGGATAATTACACTTTAATTGCGTTTAAGCTACATTATTTAGTTAATGGTGTGCTAGGCTTGGACAAGTGTGATGCCACGTACCCAGGTCTTAAAATGACGATTTAGAGACAATAGAACCAAGCACTGCTGGGAGAAAGCAGCTGCGGTGGCTAAAGTACACAAAAGTGGACTTTGGGTCCACGTTCGAACGCACCTGCAAACCAAACAGAATCTACAAATGGTTGCTAGGTTGCAGGCTACTAGCTACTGGACTGCTTAGTGTCGATGGCTGTATTAATTACCATGTTCGAACGCCATTCAGCATTCAAACAACATCCAAGTTCGAACGAGCTTCAACTCTAGCATCTCAAGAAGACACTAAATCTGTAGATAGAAGGAGGACTCACATTCGAATGCCAATAGAAGACAGACATCCTCCAATTATGATATTTTAGCCGAATTTTGAGCCCTATGCTTGGACTTTCAGCCACCAAGGCTGTTCCTTGTCTCCCTCCCTTGGTCTATAAATACCACCCCTTGATTCTTACATTAAAATAATTTTTGGAAGAGGAATAGGCTTTCTCTTTCACTTAGAAGAGTGGACTTCTCTCACTTTTCTAGCTCTCTTGTAAAAGGTGTGTAGTATTTTACTCACCCTTTGTTGGAGATAAGTACTGTATTATCTTTATATTTTTACCTTTATAATTCTATTTACTTTTTTAATTTTCTTCTAGTAATGAATAGTGGGTAGTTTCTCATTCACTCTTTAGTAAGAGGTGATGGACATGTAAAGTATTGTTCGAAAATTATATTTGTGTCATTTCATTTATGCTTATTGTGTTATCATTTCTTTTACATATTGAATAATTGAATGTATGTAGCAAAACTAAAATATTGTTATCTATCTATCTATATATATATAATCAGATGAAGGAACTAATTACTGTAATAAAATCTAAATCTATTAAGTATACTTTTATATACAAATAATTTAATTAAAAATATAATATTAAAAAATAAAGTAAAATACACTTACAGTGACGCAGAACTGCAATAGTAATAAGAATTTAGAAATCCAGAAATAATAATAATATTTTGTGTCTTGTATAATCATAGTTTCTGTACGACAGATTTGTTCTCTCTTAGTGCCCCTTAAGGTTGATAAGCAATTATCTCCTAAGATTTAACGGATTTTCGTTTTTGAAGAAGCAGTACTTCAATATTTAGAACCCCAATGAACACTTATGCGTTTATACTTAAACCAAACAAAAAATAGCAATGCAATAATATGCACACATAGAGAGAGAGAGAGAGAAGAAAATATTGAATACAAAATTCAGAATTTGGGATGGATTGAAAATGTCAGGAATACAGTTTGTGTATGGACCCTTGGTGCATGTTCAGATCGCCTAAAAAGCCCTGAGATATCATTGTTCGAATTGAAAAGATACATTCTTTTAATCTAAACAGTAGCAAAGGAAAGCACCTCTAGAATAAACATACACTTTTCTAATTCGACGTCAAATTCAAATTTAACGGTAGAAAATTTTAAAAATTCGGTTGGACATTTTAAATTTCAGTTGGAAAGTTAGTTACGATCCGCGTTCGGATCCATTTGGTTTGACTCACAATCCGCACCACACCGCACCAAATAAAAAATAGAAGTCTTATAATTGATCACCCAATGATCATCTTATAAAACAAGTCTTATAATTGAGAACCACATCCACATTAACTCATGTTTCTTTAATACATGCGACAAAATTTTTTGAGAATCTTATAACTACTCCTTTTTTTAATACTCTTTCATACTCGATCAATTTTGTGCAAGGTTAATAAGGACATAAACATAATTTTAAAAGCCCAATTTCTTTAACTACACAAATTGAAATCAATTTGGGTCCACTATTTCTTTAAAGCTATTCTGCAGAGTCTCCTCTAAAAAACAGTTTACTAAAAGGCTAATTATTGGTACAAACATGTACTTCAAGTAATAAACAAGACTGAAATGAATTATCGGCACCACCACAAAAACATAATAATAATATCAGTGATACAATCAAGTTCAACTTTGTCCACGACACAGAAATAACCCCACACACAAGTAAATAATAATATCAGTGATACATTAAGGGCTCGTTGAGTTGCCGTATTAGAAATGGATGGATTAGATAGAGTGATCCAGTTTAATACAATACGGAAAGACAAAAGACAAGATTAAATAGGGTATTAGAATAATACATAATTTTATCTAGT